CTTCATGGTGGATGTGATGGTCCATGTGTGAAGTATTGGTCCAACGTATTCCTAGGGAGGATCACATCCGCCTGACGGTCATTTTCAGAGAGATAAAATTGTAGTGTTCTCTCTCACTGAAAGTGACAGCCCAACTGTCTTCTCATCTTCTCGATGGCAGTTGCCAGAGTTATTGCTCGAAAAATGATGTTTAAAAGAGTTGAGCTTCTAGCAACACATGTAAAGCTTCGCTTCTTTGAAGGTATTTTCTAAGTTAAAAGGTGTAAAAGGTTGTTCCTGGTATCTTTGTCATTCGGGAGTTTTTTCTATCTCTTAATTGGATTGATTTTTTTTTTAAATTTCAGACCTGATTCGTTTTCCTTGCACTTTATTTTTGTAGTTCCTTATCTGTGTTATTGTTATTTAGTTTTCGACGAGTCAATTGTGCATGTTTCATCACTCTTATTTCGAGTTTGATTGGTAAGGATACTTGTTCAGCGGGATTCGACCAGGCAAAATTCCCCGAGTCTCGAGACCACTTCGCACCTGATGCCTTCACTAAAGATGCATTAAAGGTTGCTTGATGGGATTTTTTTGTCTCTTTTTGGGAAATGAAATATTGTGATATCTCATCAATGCATTGAGTTAGCGAATTTTTGTTAGATGGACCGTCCCCCCCCCCTAACATTGGACTTGTCCTTTCTATATAAAGGGAGGAGAGGTTCACCTTGTCCTTTACTTTTCAACATGAGTGTCGGACTCGTAAGGGTGGAGAGCTATCAGACGGCTCTTTACACAATCGCTAGTGGAGGAGATCCTCTATTGATGCCTGTGTTGAGACCAGAGCCCTCATTTTAACCTTTTTCTGCAAGTCGTGCATCGAAGGGGAGGGTTTTTTTGTGGGTTGGACATTGAACATGAGTTGAGTTGAGTCAGATGCCCGAGCAAAGATCTTTCCCGTGAACGGGCGGGATGGACTTTGGAAGGGGTTCTAAACTCATCATCTCAAAAGGACAATGTGTTCGTTCAGTCGTTGCTATCAGTTGTGTGCGTTTTTTATGTCTCTTAGTGCCTCCTGCCAAGGATTCTGAGAGAAAAACATAACACCTCTGGTGGCAACGCGTTTCTGTCCCTCTCGTTCTGGCTATCTATGATCGTGTTACATAGTTAGAACCGAGCAGAAGTGTGGGCATGGATTCCTTTCACTCACGACTGCATTCTGCTTTCCAAGCTGATGCTTCAAAGCATGAATAAATTCTTAGGCCCAATTGGAAGAGACTTGAGATGGACCTCTGGGAGAGAGACGATTGTTCGAATAGTGTTTTTCCTGCCCCCTTATTTCCCATATGAACTGAGGGGAGTATGGAGGAGTTGGGCACCCCGAGTATTCACGGTGAAGGCTCTTTTTGTGTCTAGAATGCTAGTGCATTCAGTTCCTTTAGCGATATTCTATACACAAGGGAAGGTTGTTGTGAAGAGGGTGGGTCAAATTGGATTTATTTAAGAGAGCCAGTCGGATCCATCCGTCTTCTTCACCGTGATGACGCTCTCGGTAGAGGGGTATGCTTGTCTTCAAAATAACAAGGTTCTCTCTCCTTAGGTGTGTCTGTCGTTACTCATACTATGGACTGACCATCCCTTCTAAGGGTTAGTCATAGTCTAAAGAGTTGTAAAGTGTGTACATTGTACCTTAGTCAGCCGAAGTGCTTTGTATCTTCTTATTGGATTGAATAAAAATTATGTTTTACCTTATGTTCGTCTTTGCTTTTTTTTTTTTGTGTGTGTGTATATATATATATATATATACATACATATATGATGTCAAATGGTTGACCTCATGGCACTTTAATCGTTCTGACATCTCTCGCTTAGTTGACTCGATCTCATTGGTAGATGAAAACGACAGCCTAATGCATTTTCAAGTTTTTGAAAGTTGACTTGTCACTCAGTCAATCCAACCGAGTTCTCGAAGCATTAAGAGGACCGGTGGGTTGTTTGTGTAAGATCATATGAGAATACAATATTTCATTAATAAATTTTAATTACATATTGGTTGACTACACCCCCTTTTTCCTACGTATACATAAGAATTTTTTTTAAGGGAAAAATCACTTCAAATCGTCCCCGCTCCAAGTTCTTGGGAATTCTTTTTCGACGTATGTTTTGAGTCTGCAGGCTCCCAACAAAACTTTATGGTTGATTATGTACGGTCCACTGCACTATGGTCGTGATTGCTAACCACATGTACGTGAGTTGTTGTATTGATCTTCTTTAGGACTAGGTCGCTGGGGACATAGTTCTTCTCCCGAACATGTTTGTCAAAGTAGCGGATGATTCGACTCTTAATCTCCTCATGTCGGAGTGTTGTATTGGTTTGCATATCCTCTTGTATGTTCAGATGCTAACATTGCCCCCTCGATATTATCTTGCAGCCATTTGACCACTTCGTCCTTAGGGAACGAAGAGGTCGTGACGACCCTTTGGCAATGATGATCATACTCGACTGGTAGTACTACCTTCATTTTGTATGTCAGCATGATTGGGTATGGCCTGTAGCTAACGACGACATTGTGTGGATTCCCGAAGCACTGATGGTAATTGTTCTGCTCAACTTCTCTTGGCTCCTACGACCATTTTCTTTAATAGGTTTAGAATGAGCTTGTTAGCTGCCTCAGCCTGCCCGTTTGTTCTAGGGTGATGGACTGAAGCAAACTTCAGATCAATGTTGTGCTTTATGCATAAGACTTTCACCTGTTGATCCGTAAATTGGGTCCCATTATCGGTAATAATCACGAGCGGCAACCCATATCTGCAGACCATATGAAATTCCTGACTGCCTCTGTGTTGATCCAAGCAAGGGGGTTTGCTTCAACCCATTTCAAAAAATAGCGACCACCACCAGGAGGAACTTCCTAATAGTCATTCGATGCACCACTTAAATGCCACCAAATATAGGTTGCTCACAAGAAAAGTTATAGGAAAAGGACATCACTCCAATTGATGGTGCAACATATAGAAAAATACTAATCCTATTATTTGGAGCCTCGAGTTTTCAAAACCATTAATTTGTTTAAATTAATGGGAATGAAACTCGTTCAGTGACAGATTTGTTCCACTTTAACATAGAGACTACCCTTCTACAGATACTAACTAATTATCTTATTGGTATGTGCTACTCAACCTTCTGATTTATTATATTATGGACATGTTAAGCAAACATTATTTGGTTTATATTAATAGAATATTTCGATGTAATTATTGATAAACTATATGTTATTTACATAGACGTATCTGATTTATATTATTTTGTGTAATATTTTTAAATTATTTGTTATGATATTTAAATTATAGGTGAGTATAGGTGCCAATACCCATAATTGATACAAAATTTAAAATTCTTATCAATTCTAAAGGTTTAATCCCACCTACTCGCACACACACACACATAGATCCATATTTGTTTATCCATTAATTACAACAAAATCTTGCTTATTGTTGAGGAAAATAGAAAACAAAGAAGAATAGAGAATAGAGGGAGTGTAGGAAGGGAAAAAAAAACACTATAAAGCTCAATGGTTCAGTAATAGAGGGAGTGTAGGAAGAAAAAATAAACACTATAAAGCTTGATGGCTCAATAATTGAGTTATTTTAAGTTGATTAAGTGTAATCTTGATTTTCCCTCTAACTCTCTATTTATAGATGAGGTCCCTATTTGAGTGCAACAAAAAATGGCTACATAAAGAGCTAGATACAAGTGGAAATACAAAAAAATTTGAGTTTTTTTAAGTTGGTTAAGTGTAATGCTAGTTTTCCCTCTAACTCTCAATTTATAGGTGAGGCCCCTATTTGAGTGCAACAAAGAAGGCTACATAATGAGCTAGATACATGTAGAAGTGCAGATAATTTTTAGTTAATTTAAACTGGTAAGTGTAATACTTGTTTTTCTTATAACTCCCTATTCATAGGTGAGGTCCCTCTTTGAGTGCAACCAAAAAAGGCTACATAATGAGCTATATACATGCAGAAGTATAAAGCACAACCAATCGATTGCTCATTGTAAGATGCCAAAAAGCACGTAGCCTCCTGAGAACTTAGACTAGTGCTCAGCAAGCAAATTAAGAGAGAGTTGATTGTTCCTCTTGTGTAAGCCACCCACTTGCTCTTGGGCTTGAGCGACTGAGCCTGGATGGTCCAACAAATTTGGCACATACTTGGCAAGTAGGCCATGAGCCGGACGACCAAGTCTTCCTTGAACCTAGCCAACTAGTGTTCAAGCCTGACCACTAAAAACTCATTCTTTAGCTCAAGTTTCTATTGAACCTAGCTGCTAATTCAATCTCGACTTTCATATAAAGACTATACGATTTGTTGTGTTAAAATCAATTTATCGGAAAAACATGCTTTCGCAGGGTTAACATTCCTTTTTACTTGATCATTTGAGACTGAAACTGGTTGCCAATGAAGATGATACCCCAAACCATAGATTATAGTACTGGCAAGGTGAAAACATCAGCCTTAATTAATCCATTAGTTTTGGGTGGTTCCCAATTGAGCATACCAATGGTATAGATAAAATTGACAAAAATAGTCTCAGCCAATCAAAATGGATGGATCACTCCATAAGAAACGATTGCCTATTTTGATTTTGCATATTTTCAAATACTTCAACATTAATATGATAGATTCCACAATATATTTATTAAAAGAATAAATGATCTAGGAAATGACTCTCTTTTAACCAGTTAACTTTATTTTAAATAAAGAATAAAAAGTTTGAATTGCATGTAGATACTTTCATTAAACCTTCACCCAGCCAAACAAAACTGATCATTTAATTTTTCACATAAAATAATTAACATGAACTCATAATCTTTAATCTACAAGCATCCAAATGAACCCCAAGCAATTTCCAATACATCACCAGAATAATCCAAATAGAATTATACCTGCAACAACTAGAAAAAACAAAGAATGAAAGATCTTATACTACCAATAATGTACAAAATCATTTTGAATGGGTATCAAGCATTCCATTTATCTCAAAGCATTCAGCTTTCCAATTGTATGTTTCAATTAAACCAAAATTAATTAAATAAAAAAAATTAATTCAGAAATAAATAAATAAAAGGATCAGTTAAGAGTTAGAGCAGCTAACCAATTCCAACCAACACTCTGAGAAAAATCTCCCAAAACTGGCCTGAGAACTCAAAAAGATCTCAGCAATGAATGAAGAATCAAATCAGTCATCTTCCTCTTCCTCTATGAGTATCTTCTTACATGCTTCAAAGCACATGAATGAAATCCCAGCAGCAGGCACCAACTTTAAGCAGCTAGGTCCCAAACCTTTATACAGCCCCCCAACGCCTTCATTCTCAAGTATGCTACAAAGCGCATGAAGCATGTTCTTGTAAACCTGTCTGCCGCCGACCGCTCCAACTTGCATATGTTTTCTGGCAACTTCGAGGGGAAACGTAGCACTGCTCGATATTGCACCGGCCGCTGAACCAATTAGAAGGGTTGCAATATTGCCAATATCTTCTTTCTTGCTGATTTTCCTGTAAGCTTTCTTTAGCATGTCGTAGGTGAAGTAGTTCGTCGCGGCATACGGCACAACACCGATTAGACTCGGAGTGAGACCTCTGTACAGTTCCGCAGGGCCTTCCTCACGCAATATCTTGAAAAACGCATGCAGGAGGTTGTCGTAGGCATCTCTCTGCGGTTGAAAGATAGCAGGTCAAGAGAGTAAAAATACTATTAAATCGTAAATTTTCATGGGGGCATTTAAATGTATTTACATATCTAACTTTCAAACTCTAACTTTTACATTTATATCACCCAAATCTTTCATATCACATCAAAATATGACCATCTTCATTTAAAAAAAATGAAATGCACCTTTTCATGCATAGGTAAGTTGTTATGCAAGTAAAAAATCGAAGTTGGTGTTAGATATGTATATACATAGGAATTGAGTGGTATGTATGTAGATATTCAATTTTCATGATCATAGAATCTTAATTTTTAGTAAAATAGCTCAAGAAGTTATAGTTTGAGATAAAGCACCCAACCACTACACCAAATAAGTTACAATTTTGTTGTAGACAATTTTGAACTAAAGCAATGAATTACCTCTATGGTTAGTCTAGTCTTGAGCAGCTCTAGAGGATATGTGCATAGAGTTGAACTAATTCCAGCACATGCTCCAGCAACCAAAGATGGAGGTACATGAAGTTTAGGTTGCTCCTTGGATTTTGGTGTTAGTATTTTCTTTACTGTATCATAAGCAAATAACTGCAACAAATATATTAAGATGACAAGATAAATATTATAATCTCAAAAAGATTGAATTTGCTAGCTAATTGTATTTGTAAATCAAGCAAGGGTTCATGAGCTAAAATATGACACATCAATCAAATTCACGAAAAAGGACAGGTACAACTGTTGCGTGCTTTGAGGATCCTATCAAATATTAAATGTGAAGCGCATTTGCCAAATTAAGAGAGTATGCATCAAAAGAAATAATAGCTGTGGTTAGATCAATATGACAGAGTGGTTTGAGAGTTTTTCTCTCCCCCTCACCAACCAAAATTTGAGCATATATAACTTTACATTTGTCAGAAATTTATGATATATTTTGTATGAGAACAAAGCTGCTATTATTATTAGACGTCCTTTATTTCAGACGTCACATGCTATTTCTCAATGTAAATAAATTATTAGACATTCAAAGTATAATCGTTACATAAAAATGTAATGTGAATGTTTAATAATATTATGTAAAAGTTTAGTTATATTGTCTAGTAATTTAGCTGAATAGAGAGATAACAAGGGATGCATAAAATTATAACTAGAGACGTGTAATAAGAATTATCACAGTCTAATATGAAACATACCAGATATCCTAACAGTTTATTTTGATACTGGAACTAATTGGGATGTGGAGAAATACAAACGAAGTAAGCTTTTATTAGTATAAAAATAGAAGCACAACTCGGCTCAACAAAAGGGAAATTCATAATAGGCGAATCACTAGCTAGAGCTATAGGAAAAGACTCAAAAGTGGTAGCGTTGTCGGCGGGGTGAGCGGTCGTTGGGTAGGTAGGGAATTATGTAGGGTTGGTTGTAAGTGAGTTGGATGGCAAGGACATGGATGAAGTAGATGTAGCAGTAGAGTGGTGGACGAATGTGGGGATGGTAGGTGACTAGTGGAGTGGTAGGAAAAATGGATTGGTGAGAAGTAGCAAAGGAGTTTGAAGTTTAAAACACCACCTCGAAGCAGGATACAACCAAAACATCACTTGTCGGTTATAGCTTTAATGAGAGGGAAGAGACTCCACATATGAGATTTAGTAGACAACTCCAGTAGAACTTGTCCCCCGCATACACCGGGGACAGCTATTTGTAGCCTTCTAGTTCTACACAAGAGGAAGAAGAGTGGGGTGGTAAGAAGAATCCAGAAGAAAGACTTTTCTAGAAGAAGGCAAGTGTTGAAGGTGCATGAAGCAACCCTGGATCCCGAAGATTCATGACCCAATCCCTATTCCATAAGCGGGATTGCAATCCACGACCCGAACTCCTGCATTCGCGCGTTTAAGGGCAACCAACGTCGCTTCGTGCTGCCTCGCGAGGTTTTGCAGGGCTTTGGCCCCGCTATTTTGAAGTGCCCCGCTCGAAGCGTTGTTCTGCACCCTAATTCCAGCGCTGTTAAGCACCTGCATCAGTCTCTTGGGGTTTGGGAAGCTTCAACCTCATTTGTCGAAGCTCAAGGCTCTTCGGAGTATGGTCGGCGACGTTGAACATGACTGAAATGTTGTCGTCCCCAGTCAGGTCAATCTTATAAGCATTTTTGTTCAGCTTCTGAAGTACTCTAAAAGGTTCATCTGCTCTCGACTTCCCGAATGATCCTGCGGGAAATCTCTCCTTTTTAAACAGGATCCATATGAGGTGCTTGGTATTTTCGATTTTTCTTAGCAATTTCCTTACCAACTTCTAGGTCTTGTGAACTCGTTCTGTGGCATCCTTGCTGATTTTTGGAGATGGCAGGAGTAGCATCGATTCAAGTGGCGTGAGCGGATTACACCCGACACAAACTCGAAGGGGGTTCTTCCTGTAGTTTGATTGATAGATCGGTTATAAGCGATTTCAACTTGGGCTAGGATGAGATCCAACCGCTTAATACCGCTTCACAATCTCCTTGAATTACAGATCAGCGATGTGAGAGACATCAAGTGTCCGGCGACAGGGCACAAAGTGGGTCACCTTGGAGAATCTGTCTACTACAACCATTACAGAATTCTTGTTTCTTTGAGTACTTGGAAGTCCTAGCATGAAATCCACATTGACATCCACCCATGGTGCCTCTGGTACTGGAAGTGATGTGAATAATCCGGTGTTCTAAACTCTTGTCTTTGCCAGATTACAAATCTTGTATTGCTTAACACGTCGTTCGACATCTCTTGCCAGTTTTGGCCAAAAAAAAAGCTCTCTTACGAGGGTGAGGGACTTGACCCTGCCGAAATGACATAGTCCTCCATTGTGGCCTTGCTGGATAATGGCCTCCTTTAATGAACACCGAGGAATGCACAACTTACCCGATGGATAGATATCCATATGTGTGGTAATATTGCCCTGTTGGCTTCTCTTGACATTGCTCCAATATGTTCTTGAAATCTTCATTTATTTCATATAGATCATTTATGACCTCAAAGCCCACAACTTTGCCTGCATGGATGCTATCAATAGGTGTTCACGACCCAGTGCATCTGCCACACAGTTCTAGCTTCCCGCCTTGTACAACTGCTATTTGGGTTCCCCGAAGGGGGGCACTCGAAACCGCGGGGCCGAAGCCTCGCGAAAACTCGTGAAGCCGAGCGAGGTCTCGCAGTTCCGGGAAGACGAGAGAACCCACGGTAGGGAGAAATCGCAAATTCTCCCAATCCAACGAGGCTATTCACACCAAATCTTTTCTGGGAAGTAATTTCTGGATTCCTCCTAGCTTTCAACCTATCTCTTTTGTGTAGAAGTTTCTCCTAACCAATAAATAGTTGTCTTTGTTTATGTAGGAATCAGATTTGAGTTGTGTTTGAGTTAGCTTCAGTATTTGAGGTGGCGGTTGTATCCCCCCTTTCTACCCTTTCCAAATCTTCTCCTCTCCACTTATCGACAGCCGAACTCACCCACCATCATTTCGACATTCAACTGTTTCCCCTTCTTGCAAATCATTATTGTTGCCCCACCTACATAACTCTTTTCAAACCCCTCCCAATTACCACACTACCGCTGCCGACCACCTACAACCCTTCCACTTGTTGTTTCTATAGTTTTGCATCTTCCCTTCGATACTAACCGCTTTCCGTGACTACTGACATTCCACATAATCATTCATATTCCTCTAGCCGAACTCCGTCACCCATTGGGTTACATTTAGGGGGGGTGCTTGTGTTGTCTTATGTTTTGTGTTGTCATTTCTATTTGAGTCATGTTGTAATCTTATTTTAATATTAATGAAAGATTACTTTTTGAGTTCTCACTTTTTGAGTTCTCATTGAGTTCTCACTATTTTTCCTACTAGTTTCGGTATCATTTTTTATATAGCAATATAAACAATAAAGCCATTGAACCAAAATCGGCATATTTTTGTTAAACTCATCAAAGTTGAATTCTTAGATCATACTATACTTTCACAATCACGCAACTAAGAAAAAAAACAAAACAAAAGCAAGAAAACAGCACCTTGTGAGAGAATTATTTTACAACGTCAAATCATTGTTAAGGGCATGCAACCACAAGTGTGCAAAGAAGATCAAGGCAAATGCAAAATTCTCATCTCTATGCCAAACTTTAGAAGTTGGAATTAGCCAATCTAAACTCAAATTAAAGTATTTCAATTTCGACTTGAAACAAATTTGAGTTGAATCAAAATTGATAGACTTTTGGAATGAGTTCTGAGTTGAATTGAGTAAACTCCAATAATTATAAAAAATAATTTTAATCTCTAATTAAAATTACTATACATAAAAGCATTCAAATTTTTATTTACAAATGTGTATTAAAAAATAAATTAAACATAAATGCTTGCATATATATATATATATATATATATATATATATATAATAATGCTCACACAGGCTGACGAGGAATACTCTAAAACAATGTCCGCAGTCCAAACATAATCAGAACCCTCATCATGATATCAGCATTGAAGGCCTAGGAGAAATGCAACGTATGCAGCCACAGCTCTATTTTAACTTTAAAGAGTCCTAAAAATAAAACAACAGACACCTCATGAACAACAACCATCCAAATGACATGAAAGCAACCAAGAAAACTGGCAAGAGGGTGGCTAAGAGAATTCTACACGAGAAAAGATGGTAAGAAAGGGAAACGATGTGATTCTAGGAGCTAAAAGCAGTTTAGTAGAGCAGGGTGGGCAGCAGTTAGAAGCCTCATAGGCATGATTTTGGAAAAATAAATACTGACAATAAAGGGATCGTGTGAAAAGAAGAAGAGAAGGTGGGTTGAGTACCGTGAAAAACATAATGAAGGAGAAGCATCAGAAACAAGGAAGAGTAAAAAATAACTATTAAACACATAGTTTAAAGGTCATAGAGGGAAGTTTTTTGTCTCAGGTTTCCATGAGGCTTTTAGGAGATGGTCTTCCACGATAGATGCAAGTTTTTCCACATAACTTATTTAAAATATTTAGAAACCAAATTATGGGAGAAGTATTATTCATATTGTTATATGCTAAAATATGATGACACTAGAAAAATTGACCCCAGCGATATAAGACCCAATAGAGATGAGAAAAAAAAATTTTTTTGACCCAAATCCAGCTTGCTCCAACAAAACTAATTTGAACCCCACTCGAATAGTCAGTTTAAAATAAGTCATACCAACTATTCGGGTCAAGATTAAGTTAAATTCAAGTCAAATTGCAGTTGGTGGATTAGCTCGAATCTAACCTAAAAATTAAGTCGGGATTCTAGGCCCAATTTAACCAAAAAAGTTCATTGGCTCGGCTCAAGCCAAGATTTTTCAAGTAGTTTTAGGACGAGTTATCTGGTAGAATCATTTTTTGACGGCTTTAGTTTCAAGGGATAACCTTAGTAATGGCGTTGGAGTGCATTGAAAGGTAAGTTGGTAAGAAAATAGTGAAATGCAAGGAGCCTCTGGTTCAATTAGGTCTAGGCAACAATAAATGGAATCAATTAATGGATGACAGAAGATGGGCAACAATACACATTGGTCAATATTAGTGTCGATCGATGACAATGGGCGATGGTTCGTT